TTCCAGGGCTGAGGTAGGGAAAGCAAAAAGAGCAACCTGGAACATCTTGTTATGCCAGAAAGTAAGGAATGATTGTAATATGTCAAAAAGGGTACAGAATACAGCACAGAGGTGGCTAAGGAGACATGACAACTAAATTGATCTGCTGTTTGTACTTTTTTGATAAATCTGTGATTTTGACATAAAATTAACTAGTAGTTGGCAAGAATCAGTTCATCCTCAGTCCAGCCATTTTTCATTTATATTTCTTCCTGAGGAGGCCTTAACTCAATCTCCCAGTATACTTTTTTAAAAAATTTTTTGGTGAAAATATACACAGCCAGACATACACCAATTCAAGTTTCTACATGTACACTTCAGTGTCACTGATGACATTGTTCAAGCTGTACAACCATTCTTGCTATCCTTTTCTAAATTATTCTACCATCAGTAACATAAATACTGCCCCCTAAACTTCTCATCTAAACTTTTGAGTTGCTGTTGTCACTTGGGTCATATACAGATCATTCTTTATAGAGCAGAATGCTCAAGGCAAATGTTCTTTTCTAATTAAGTTAAACTATTTTTCGGTTTAAAGATAACTTCAGGGATTATTTTAGTTTAAAATTTAAACTTTAAAGATTATCTCAGAGCAATAGTTTGAGGGCATCATTCATCTTCAGTAGTCTGGATTCCATAAGAATGTCAAATTCTGTTCCACCTATTTTCCACTTTTGATCAGGTTTCTTGTATAGTGTCTTTAAACAAAATGTTCAGTAATGGTAGGCAGGCACCATCTCATGGCAACGGAGGCAGTTGTTCAAGGAGGCAATTAAATGTGCATTCCACTTTCTCCTTCGAGTCCTGTCATTTATCTGTTGCTCCACGTGAATAGAGACCAGTTGTTGTATCTAGGAGGGTTGTCCACAAAATTTAAGACCCTAGGCACTACTCAAAGGAGCTCTGATGGCACAGAGCCTAAGGCATTTGACTGCTAACTAGAAGGTTGGTGATTCAATCCCATCAGCCTCTCCACAGAAGAAACATGGGGCAATCTACTTCAGTAAAGGTTTACTGCCTTGGAAACCCAATGGGGGTTGCTGTGAGTTGGAATTGACTTGATAGCAGTAGGTTGTTGTTTTTTTTTTTTTTTTCTTTTTCTTTTGGTTTAGACACTACTCAACAAACTAAGTGGTAGAACAGAAACACTAAAGCAACATTAGGCCAATGGACTGGAATGTCCAACAAAACCATGTCCCTAAACCTTATAAACAAGAAAAACCCATGAAATGGTTGGTTATTACATAAGCAGCATCAACAGCTACTTTTTCTTTTCATAAAAATATGTAAGGACATGGAGTTTATTAGCAAAGTAACAGGCTACAATTCAGGATCAGAAACAAGTCAGGTTACAGTTCTTCAATCAGCCTCTCAGATGTGCTGCAGCATGTTTCTCTCTGGCCTCAGCCTCTGCCCCGTTCAGGCTAGTGTTAAAAAGCTTCTTCAGCTTTGCTGATGGCACCCAAAGAGGCACCCCATTCCACAAGCAAACCTCCTGCCTGAAGGTACTCAGCTTCCTCATTCCATGGGCCAGGAAACCTATCACTCTGTCTCATGCCACTCTCTTGGTTCTGCTGTCTCTGTTGCCACTGTCTCTCTGCCATCACTCTGCCAAGGAGATCCAGCGCAGGGATCTTGGGTCCAAAGACATGCTCCACCCCGGTGGTGGTTCTTCTTCTTTCTTTAACTTTTTATTGTGATTTGGGTGAAATTTTACAAAGCAGATTTGTTTTAAGCTCATTTTGTTTTGTGACACTGGTTACATTCTCCTCAGTGTAACAGCTCACTTCCCTCTTATCCCTGTGTTTACAACTTCCTTGTGTTCTTCTTGCCTATGCATTCCTACCTCCTTTCTTTTCTCTCTGTGCAAATGCTGCCCCTCTGATCTCCCATGGTTGATTTTTCTAAGGAGTACATCTCCCTGGTGTAGGTGTTCAGCTCATAGGCCTACTGTTTGACTGAGAATTAAGCCACAGGAGTGAATTTAATTGCAAGGGTGACTCAGGGATTTCACTAGTCTCTATCAGACCATTGTAAGCCTGGTCCTTTTTATGATTTTTGAAGTTTGTTCTACATTTTTCTCCTACTCTATTCAGGATCTTCTATTTTAATCCCCTTCTAAGTGGTTGGCATTAGTAGCCAGGCACCATCTAGTTCTTCTGGTCCCAGGATCATATAGGTTGAAATTCTCATGGTTCATTAGCCCTTTCCACTGTTTCCATGCATCTTTGATTTTCTTCACTCTTCTTTGCCCCAGATGAGGAGAAACCAGTAGTTGCCACTTAGATGGCCTCTTGCAAGGTGTTTATTCATTTATTATTTATTTAATTGTGATTTGGGTGAAAATTTACAGAGCAAATTCACTTTCCATACAGCAGTTCCCATACACTTTGTCTCATTTGACCACAGTTCACAGTACAACAGCTCCCCTCCCACTTTGTCCCGACAGTCACCTCTTCCCTGTGTCCATCCCTCCATGCACCCCTGCCTCCTGAGCTGTCTTCCTGTGCATAAACAGCCCTTTTTCTCCCATGATTGTTCTCTGCAAGGACTGTATCTACCTCAGGTAAATGTTCAACTCCTATGCCTGTCTTTTGTTTGGCTGGAAGCCACAGGTATGGGTTCAATTCCAGACCTGAAGGGCAGCTAGGGGCCATAGTCTCAGTATTTCCACCAGGCTCTATCAGACTAGCAAACCTGGTCTCCTCCCCCCACCTCCTTTTTATTTTTCAAATGATTTTGAGTTTTGTTCCACATTGTCCTCCCCCTCTATCCAGGATCTCCTACATAGATCCCCCTCCGAGTGGTTGACAGTGGTAGCCGGGCACCATCTAGTTCTTCTGGTTTCATAGTTGTATAGGCCACTTGCAAGCTTTTAAGACCCAGTCACTACTAACAAATAAAATGTAGAACAATATTTTTGTATATCATGTCGTGCCAATTGAACTTAATGTCCCTCACAATCATGGTTATTGGGTAAATTTAAACACACTAATTTGTGGGACTAAAAAAAGAATTCAGAGTTAATTAATAGTTATATAAATATTAAAACATGTTGAGTTTCTTGTTTTCTTTAAGAGGTGCGTAAAGTTTTTGAATAACTTTTGGCTTTTTCTAAATTATTTGACAACTAAAGGATAGAATTAGGTGTATAATCATGAAGAGAAGGAAACTCAGGGCCAAAATGACTGGATTCAAATTTAAGTTCTGCCATCTATTAGCTGGGTGACCTTGGGTACATTACATAACCTTTCGGTGTCTCACTTTTTCAGGACAAAAGGAATTAAAAAGCAAAACCACTTACTGTTGATTTCAACTCATGGTGACCCTGTCTGTTTCAGAGTAGAATTGCACTCCATAGGGGTTTCAAGGCTGTGACCTTCCAGAAGCAGATTGCCAGGCCTTTTATGGGTGGGTTAAAACAATCAACATTTTGGATAGTAGCTGAGCTCTTAATAACTTGCACCACTCAGAGCCTGCAAAGGAACGGTTGTTGTGTTGTTATGTGCCGTCGAGTCGGACCCGACTCATAGCGACCCCTCCTTGGGTTTCCGAGGCAGTACCACTACGGAAGTAGATTGCCCCATCTTCCTTCCGAGGAGTGGCTGGTGGGTTTGAACCGCCGGCCTTCTGGTTAGCAGTCAAGTCCCTTAGCAAAGGAACAGTACTAGTAGCTACTTCGTATGGTTGTTGTATTAAATGAATTTATTTAAACCCACTTGATTTAGAACCTATAGCTAAGTACTAAGATGTGTTAACCACAATGACAACTTCCAAAACAGGTGAGAAAAAGTGTGGATGAGGGAGAGGAGCATTAATCCAAAAGAAATCAAGAAAGGATAAAAATATAAATAGGTCAAATACTACAAAATAAGAGGAGAACAGTATGTCCAAATAAAACAATGATTACATTAAATGAAAACGGGCTGTTCTTCAATTAAAAGTTAGACTGGAGTGGAAAAAAATCTAGTGATACGTTGTTCCCAAGGAATGTAACTGAAACACAAGGACACAGACACAGATGGAAAAAGCTATACAAATCAGTCAAGGGATGAGAATCTTACACTTGCTACCATGTCCTGCCAACCCCATAAACCCTCTTCACCCCTTCCAGGATTTGAACTTTAAGTCCGGATTCCTCAGCCCCTTCTTTCTTGGTGAGAAGTAGAGATGGTTTGGTTCTAGCACTTCTCCAAGACCTTGCTCACATGAGCGATTGCTCCGCGTGGTGACGTATGCGGGGGGAGGCGGAGCTCCTACCTCTTCATTGGCTGGCTGTTGGCTTGCTGGGCCACAAAGGTAGAAGGGAGTGGTGGTGGTGTCAGAACTCACGATGGTTATAAAAGGGAGAGTTTGTGACGCAAGGCGCTTCAGCCAGTGCATATTGGCTCCGTTAGAGGCGCTTTCTTCCTTGCCCTTTACAACGCGGCCGAGTTTGGTGTCTCGTCGCTGCTGCCGCGCTGCTGCTCTGGGAGGACTCTATTCCTGATTGCTCTGCAGCTGCTGCCACCCCGCCGCCTCTGTCGCCTCGGCGATAGTGGCTGTATAAGCCACAATCTTTAAACATATTCCTTTTTGTGGTGTTCTTGGTCACACATTTATGGAATTTCTGAGGGCCGTAGAGATACTGTCAGGCACAGCACGACCTTTATGAAGACAAGTGATCTGTGGAAATTCATTACTACTCCACCAAGAAGCCCCTAAAAAGCGCTTAACCTGGACACGGAAGTGTTGAAATCATGGAAACATTTTACAAGAGTTCTGTCCTGGATGGGGGTAAACCTCAGCGCATACCGAATTGAAGAAGTGCGTCTTAATTCCAATTTCATATTCGAAGCACTTTAGAATTTGAAGTCGAGTATGTTAGAGTAGGGTTCAGTTTTTTTTTTTTTTAATTTCATCATTTCTGTATTTAAATTTTTAAATTCTTTTTTTACCCCTGTTGCTTTTTTTAAACTAACATGGCTCCAATGAACCGCCCAGCTCCTGTGGAAGTCACGTACAGAAACATGAGATTTCTGATTACACACAACCCAACCAATGCAACCTTGAACAAATTTATAGAGGAACTTAAGAAGTATGGAGTTACCACAACAGTAAGAGTATGTGAAGCATCTTATGACACTGCTGTTATGGAAAAGGAAGGCATCCAGGTTCTGGATTGGCCTTTTGATGATGGCTCATCACCATCCAGCCAGATTGTTGATGACTGGTTAAATCTGATAAATGTAAAATTTTGTGAAGAACCTGGTTGTTGTATTGCTGTTCATTGTGTTGCAGGTCTTGGGAGAACTCCAGTGCTTGTTGCCTTAGCATTAATTGAAGGTGGAATGAAAAATGAAGATGCAGTACAATTTATAAGACAAAAGTGGCGTGGAGCTTTCAATAGCAAGGAACTGTTGTATTTGGAGAAATATTGTTCTAAAATGCGTCTGTACTTCAAAGACTCCACTGGTCATAGAAACAACTGTTGCATTCAATAAAATTTAGCTGCCTGATGCTATTGCCTTAGAAGTGGAACTTGAGACAGAACATAATTCATCATACATATTAGCCAACATATAGGCTTATTGTTGTTGTTGTATGCCATCAAGTTGGACGGACTCATAGTGACCTCTCCTTGGGTTTTCGAGGCAGTACCACTACAGAAGTAGATTGCCCAACCTTCCTTCCAAGGAGTGGCTGGTGGGTTTGAACCACCAGCCTTCTGGTTAGCAGTCAAGTGCCTTAGGCATTATGCTACCAGAGCTCCCATATATAGGCTTAGTGAATGATAAATCTTATGAAGTTTCCATAAGAATACTGAAAAGCCACAAGCTTAACAGAACTGCAGCCTCTGTGTTTGGGTTACTACAAACTTACTTGGACATGTAGCAAAAGTTTCTTGCTGTTCAACATTTTATGTGCTTCAACCATCAATTAACCTTTCTGAAATCATGCAGTATTGACTTAAATGTATTCTTCAATCTATTCCCATGTCGGAAACTTTACAATATGGAAGAACAAAATATTCAGTACAACACTTGCATATAGAATTAAAATCTCATGCCTTATGACCAGCACTTCAGATTATATGTGATTTACTCCTTCAGTCATTTCAAATATTGCAGGTAGGGCCTTTAATGGTTATTTGCCTGCTTTCTTATGTTTAGCATTTTCACATCAGGTTTGTGCAACTTTTGATTTGTTGAATTTATACTACGTGTTATGATTGTTTTAATACCTTTTATAAATCTCATTTGATGCTGCTAAGAAGACCTTTATTTTGAAAAATCACAGATCTCTGGATGAAAGGTCATGTAAATCCACATTGTACATGTGTTTAATGTTTCTTTCAGACACCAAATACCTCACAGTTAATGTTTGCACTTTGAGGTGTAACTCAGTAGAGAGGGCCTGAAAACAGAATGGGAGGAAGCTACTAAACATTTCTAGTAAAATGTTGTCTTTGCCTTGTGTAGGATATATAGAAAATGTCCTTTATTTAGTAAACTTTTTTCAGGGTCGGCCTTGCAGATGTGCAACAGATTGGAAAACTAAGTAGGCACAAACGGGTGGCCAGTTTCTGCCCTATGCTGCAACTTGGGTTCTTTAGAAAACAGACTTAGTCTGAGATTTGCATGCAGAGGCTTACTGGAGAGTGCTTACAGGGACTAAAACCTGTGAGGGAGGAAAAAGAAGCAGGATAAGGCAGAAGGTGAATGGTGAGACAGTTGCAACGGTGACCACAGTCAATCTAATGGGGAGCTCTAAGGCTGGGATGGGCCTTTAGAGATGTCGCCAATGGAGGTAAGGGGACTGGGCCTTGAAACTTGTTTTTTAGAAAAATGTAATTTACTTTTGTTGTTGTTGAGAATATATACAACAAAATATACACCAATTCAACAATTTCTACACATACAATTTAGGGACATTGATTCCATTCTTTGAGTTGTGTAACCATTCTCAGCCTCCTTTTCTGAGTATTTCCTCCTCCATTAACATAAACGCAATGAGCTCCATTTCCTACCTAATCTTTTGAGTAGCTATTGTCAATTTAATCCCACATAGATTTTGAAAGACCTATTATTGTGTCTACACAATGCTCCAGGTAAAAGTTCTTTACTAAAGCCAACTATTTACTAGTTCTTTACTAAAGCCGAACTAATGCTTGGTTTTAAGAAGACTAAAGGGGATATTTTTGGCTTAAGGTTTAAAGATATCTCAGAACAATAGTTTCAGGAGTTCCTCCAGCCTCTATGGCTTCAGAAACTCTAGAGTCTATGAGAATTTGAAATTGTATTCTGTATTTTCCTCTTTTTGATCAGGATTTTTCTGTAGAATCTTTGATCAAATTTTTCAGTATTGGTAGCTGGGCACTATCCAGTTCTTCTGGTCTCATAGCAAAGGAGGCAGTTGTTCATGGGGCCAATTAATCACACATTTGATTTCCTCCTTCTATACATGACTGTCTTTCCTCTGTTACTACAGGTGAGTAGAGACCAATTGTGTGGTGGATGGCTGCTTGGAAGCTTTAAAAACCCCAGATACTGTGCAGTGAACTAGGAGGTAGAACTGAAGCACTAAACATGATATTAGGCCAATTAACTGGGATTTCCCATGAAAACCATGACCCTAAACCTTCAAATTGAGGAACCAAACCCCATAAGGTGTTTTGTTGTATTTAAGCAGCCTCATCAGCTACTAATTTTTTTTTTTTTTTTGTGGTTGTAAATGTATCACACAACTTTTGCCAATTCAACTTTTTACAAGTATACAGCATGTCAACAGCAATCACATTAATCAGCTGTGCAACCCTACCCCTTATAAGTGCAAGTTTTCCATCACCTTAAACAGAAATTCAGTACTCCGTAAGCAATAATCCTCCCTTTCCTCCCCCTCCCACTCCTCTTAACCACTAAGAAACTTTGGTCTCTATGTATTTTCCTGTTCTTATCTTTTTATATAAGTGAGGACATACAATATTTGTCCTTTTGTGATTGACTTATTTCACTCAGCAAAATATCTTTAATCTCCATCTACGTTGTAGCATGTATCAAGACTTTATTTCTCTTAATAGCTTATTTCTCTTAATACTATTTCATAGTATGTGTGTTACATATTTTTCTTATCCTGTCTCATCTATTGATGGGCATTTAGGTAGATCCCACCTTTTGACTATTATGAATACTGCTGCAATGAACAAGTCTCTTTTTCAGTCTCTAAAGTCTTTTGTTTATATACCTGGGAGTGGAATTACTGAGTCATATGGTAGATGAAAAATTCAAGATTTTTACTAACTCCTGCAGTCTGAAATTGAACAAACATGCAATCAAGATGAATTGATAATTATTGGTGATTGAACTGGAAACAGAGAAGAAGGATCAGTGGCTGGAAAATATTGCCTGGGTGATAGAAATAAGGTGGGAGATCACATGATAGCATTTTGCAGGACCAATAACTTACTTCCAATATTTTTTTTCAACAACATAAATGGTGACTATACATGTGTAGTCAAATTGACTACATTGTGGAAAGAGATGATGGAGAAGCTCAATATAATCAGGTTGAACAAGGCCAAGGGATGACTGTGGAACTGTTCATATGCAGCAATAACTGTTCATATGCAAGTTCAAGTTGAAGCCAAAAAAATGAAAACAAGTTTATGAGAGTATATCCCACATAAATTTAGAGATCATCTCCAGAATAGATTTGATGCAATGAACACTAATGTTTGAAGACCAGACAATACATTTAAGAACATCATACATGAAGAAAGCAAAAGATCATTAAAAGTAAAGAAAGAAAAGACACAAATGGATGTCAAAAGAGTATCTGAAAATTGCTGTTGAATGTAGAGTAGCTAATGTGAACAGAAAATGAATTGAAAGGGCTGAAAAGATTTTGAAGTATGGCTTGAGAAGACAACATAAAGTATTATAATGAAGTGTGCAAAGAGTTGGAGTTAGAAAACCAAAAGGAAAGAACATAGGCAGCAATTTTCAAGCTGAAAAACTTGAAAAAATTCAAGCCTTGCATTGTAATATTGAAAGGTACAGGGTTCTATGGACAAAATAGTGAACAGGACAGGAAGCATCAAAAGAAGATGGAAGGAATACACTGTACCAAGAAGAATTGGTCAATGTTCAACCATTTCAGGAGGTAGCATATGATCAAAAACTGATGGTATTGAAGGAAGAAGTCCAAGCTGCACTGAAAGAATTGGTGAAAAACAAGCTTCCAGAAGTTGATGGAATACCAATTGAAATGTTTCAACAAACAGATGCAATGCTGGAAACACTTATTGTTTATGCCAAAAAATTGTAAGACAGCCACCTGGTCAACCGACTGGAAGAGATCCATATTTGTGACCATTCCAAAGAAAAGTGCTCCAATAGAATGTGGAAATTATAAAACCATATCATTAATGTCATACGCAAGTGAAATTTTGCTGAGACAATTCAAAAACAGTTGTAGCAGTACATCGACAGGGAACTGCAAGAAATTCAAACCGATTCAGAAGATGTGGAACGAGGGATATCATTGTTGATGTCAAATGGATCTTGGCTGAAAGCAGAGAATGTTAGAAACATTAGAAAGATGTTTATCTGTGTTTTATTGACTATGCAAAGGCATCTGACTGTTTAGATCATAGCAAATTATGAATAACATTGAAAAGAATGGGAATTCCAGAATACTTAACTGTGCTCATAAGGAACCTGTACATAGACCAAGAGACAGTCATTTGAGCAGAACAAAGGGCTACTACATGGTTTAAAATCAGGAAAATGAGTGTCAGGGTTGTAACCATTCACCATGCTTATTGAATCTGTGTGGTGAGCAAATAATCTGAGAAGCTGGACTATATGAAGAAGAATGCAATCACGATTGGAGGAAGAACATTAACTATATGTGATATGCAGATGACACATATTGCTTGCTGAAAGTGAAGATGACTTGAAACAGTTACTGATGAAGACCAAAGACTAGGTTGTTCTGATTATTGTGGCTGTATAGTAAGTTTTGAGATTGGCAAGTGTGAGGCCCTCTATTTATTTTTCTTCTTCAGTATTGCTTTAGCTATTAGGGGCCTCTTTCTTTTCCAAATAAAGTTGGAGATTAGTTTTTCCACTTCATTAAAGTATGTTGTTTGGATTTGGATAGGGATTGCAAGGTATCTATAGTTTGCTTTTGGTAGTATTGACATTATCACAATGTCACTTTGGTAGTGATTGCTCCTCAACATAAAGAAAACAAAAATCCTCACAACTGAACCAGTAGGTAACATCATAAATGGGGAAAAGATTGAAATTGTCAAGGAATTCATATTACTTGAGTCTACAATCAACGTACATGGAAGTAGGTGTTGAGAAATCAAATGACATATTGCATTGGGCAAATCTTTAAAGAGATCTTTTGAGCAAAGATTTCACTTTGATGACTAAGGTTCACCTGACTCAAGCCATGGTATTTTCAATAGCCTAACATTCATGTGAGATCTGGG